GCAGCAATGTTAGCAGCAAGGTTTCCATATTTGGAAAATCCAGTGTTTGCTGCAGAAATGCGGCAAACCTCATTTGCATGGTAAGCTTGCTGCAAACACAAAAGCTCTGTATAGGCTGTCATGGTTTCTTTAGCTTCATTGCAGCAATGTCTGCTGCAGACTTGCAGCAAATGTTAGCAGGAAGGCTATATATTTTGGTAAGGGTATATATATATATATATATATATATATATATATATATAGGGTTTTCCTTAAAGTTCGTGGACAAATACTATAATTTTCTTAATAAAATCCGCAACTGGCAAACGTGGACGTTAATATTTTAATTTAGACCATGATTAAGTAAATTTGTAAAAATCAAAACAATGCATGCTATTTCACGAACGTTTATATACACAAGAGTAAATACTTCGTGTATGCAAGCTGCATGGCCTAGTCTGCAAAACGCTAATTAATTTATGATACGTCAAAAATATGGATTTTGAATTTTTATCACGTTCATGGACACTCGCTACATTTTCATTATCATGCCACACTGCCAAGCGTGTGCAATAATCTTTATGAAGAGACAAAATTGATTTAATTTTAAAATTTAAATCAATACACGATAATTTACGAGCACCATCAAAATAAACACTTCATATACACAGCTGCACAGCCCAGTCCGACGTTGCGCTAGACTTATAACAACATCATGAGTAGTAATATCCTATTTTCATCAAATACCAGCGGTTTTCCACTTCTTGTAGTGTCTCCGAAATTGTACACACCGTTTGAAATTCGTATACCCCAATTCAATGAATTAAATACATTCCAATAATTTCAAGTTGTTTGAATACATATTTTTTTCAGCGTCGTTTCAGCCATATTAAAACATAATTGTATGATTGGACGCTGTTCCGTTCGGATGACCGACGTCGCTTTTTCTATCAATTTTTGAAACATATTTCTTGCAGTTTTTACTTAATGTTTTCACCGTCTGTATAGTGAGCGATACTAAAGATATCAGAAAATGACGACAGTTGCTTTATTTGTGAGACATTTAATGACCTGTTTCATTAAGAAAATTATTATTTTAATTAGAACACTTTATCTAAAAATTTATGGCATTTTAACCCTAGACCATGCGCACTATCTTCGACCTTAATTTTAAAGACCACGATTTTTACGAACGTATTTAGTTCAAACAGTAAAAACCATACTATTCTTTTTTCATAAATATTTTGGTATACAATAAGTATATCTAAAACAATTCATTTTGATAAAAACGTCATCGTCCACAAACTTTATAGACAACCCTCCTATATATAGTTACCATGAGCTAAATTACAAACGTTCATATAGCTACTCATCTGCATTTCCTTGGAACAAACTATCGCAAAATGTTCCTAACTGTAGTTAAGTGGATATTTTTAAATCTGGGTATTTAATTAATGAAATATATTAACAATACTTAAACTATTCATTTCTTCTCCAATTCATTTAGTGTGCCAAATCCTTGAATGTATTGTTATTAACAATTCTGTCATGTTATATGTTCTGTGGTTGTACTCTATATTTAGATACTTATTTTTAATATGCTAATATATGATTGCAAATACGTTTTAAACACGTATGAAACATTATGAAAATTAGCTGTATGCTTAGTATAACCATGGATAAATAAAGGTTATTATAAATGAAAGAAAGACAACTTTAAAACTCTCCTTTGATGATTTCAAATATGAAGTCACAGGCTATTCTAGTGTTATTTTTAAAATCATACGTTTATAAAAGAAGTTTAAATCTTTGATTCTGAGATAAACAAGTCAAAACACGGAAACATTCAGGCTGGGTACAAATTGGAATTTCGGTTTTGGCTTCATAATGCCCTAAAAAGTTCATGTTATCAAAAAGTTCCGAAAATTATTTAAATGCAAGTTGAATTTATGAATGTGATAAATCAGAAAAGAATACCGGTATGACATTAAGGAGGACCATTCTGGAAATATGACGTCATTGATTTGTTACATTTTCAAGTTTTTAACAAAAAAGTCCTCCTCAAAATAACTCATTAAAGGGATTATTTTTCTTAATAGTGTCCACAGCCGTCGCCTAGGAAGAGTACGCGTCCCCTGTCGACCGGTCACACCAGCCGTGAGCTCTTTTATTGATCAGGTATACGGAGTACTCCCGTCAAATTTAGTATAAAAGCAAAGACCTAACAGATAGTATCAAACATGTCAGACAATTTATGACCCCACGAGAGGTTGTATTCACAAACAAGGTCATATTAACGACAGTAGAATTTGTGAAAAGCTGAATTCAAACAGGATTGTTGAACTCCTTGTAACATCAACTTCTTTGTCAGTAGCATGCCTCGATTTAAAAATTAACCGTACTCACAGCATGCTCTTGTGTATCAGTTGGGATATATAAACACCATACGCAGGAATTTACTTCAAAAGTAAAGGAAGTTGACGATGGAAAAACCAAGTCATCCCGTTTGTCACACATTTAGTTATTAGTTGGTCATTATCGTCTATAGTCGCTAAAACATTCAATTATAAAACAGATGTGGCAGACATTGTAGTATGTTTAATTTTGAGTTCACTTAGGATGTATCGAGCCGACATGAATGAATTAATTTTTGTTCATTGATAAAACGTCGTTAATGTATCTTAATGTCGAGTTGAAGGCCACAGCAAGAGTTTTCTTCTTCTCATATAAAAGCTATTGAATAAAGTCTTCTTCATTGGAATATAGAAACAATTCAGCTAATAAAAGGGCACAATAAAGGCCCATCGAAATTCCAATAGATTGTCGGAAGACCTGGTCTCCAAAGACTACATAGATACTGTCAATGAGGAACTCGTACATCTTTTTTAATATCAAATTCAGAATACTTGCATGCAGAATGATTATTAGCAAAGGAATTTGGTTGATGAGCAATCAAAAGATATGAAAATTTGCGAGTTCTTTTTTTTTTTTATTGAGGAAGTAGTTGTCTATGATGTCAAAAAGCCTGCTCTTAAATGTTTCGTATCATGAGGAATGGTTGTATAAATTGAAGAAAAGTTCCGTCTTGAAGCTTTTGATGTTTGAAAAGTTTTGAGCTTTTAAATTTTCCAAAACTTTTTTTTAGAATACAGATTTCCTGAATAAGAAGTTGCACGTTACATCTGAAGATTCTACACAGCAGAAAATATTTTGGTGTGGAGTAAGGATAGAGGCTTGGTTGAACATTTACTGGACTCTGCAATATATCTTTGTGTAAGGATTTTTATTGAAATTTATTAAGCGTTTATTAGAAGCCTAAGATGTTTCAAAGTTAACGATCAACGCACGACGTCAGATAGAAATAGGTCCCCTGAGTGACTCGGTAGCAAATTTCCTTCGCCTTGAGCTTGGCACTTTGAAGTTGAAAGTTGAGAATATTTTAGATGAGACGTTAACCAAGGATCCGTGTCAAGACAGGCGTTGGCACGGTAACGTTGCCACTCTTGTTTCAAGTGACAAGTATGTTTTATTTTGCGAGTACTATAATTATCATACGTATTCATGCAGCTTGTCTCCAAGTAGTTCAAGAGTAAACAAGATATGGTGCACTATATAGTAAAAACTATCTGACCACCCGAGTCCATACTAGGGCCCGATCCTTGAACATGGGGTACATAAATATTATTTTTAATACAGAGGGCTAGCTGTTCATTATAATCATGCACATAATTTGCTTGCTACATGTAGATATCAATATGTAATGCAGATTTTCAACGATTAAATGTACTCTTTCAATATATATATATATATATATATACATATATATATACATACATATATATATATATATATATATATATATATATATATATATATATATATATATATCTCAAAGAAGTGAATTTTCAATAAATGACTAACATTGTCCCACCCTATTGCTTTAAACCTAGCAGCCATGAATTTCCAAATTTTGGTAGAGGATTAAGTTGTAGCATTGCAAGGAGTTTGGATACAAGATATTAACGAGTCCAAAATTAGGTAACAGTGTACTCTGGGCTGCGACACACCACAAGCCTCAAGATGCATTAAACGACAGGTTTTTTGGCATTTAGTCTTAAGATTCAGACAAAAGGAAGTTAATAGAGGGAAAGACAGGAAAATCCATCTCACAATACGAATAGTCAATAGAGGGAGTGTAAGAAGCAATGATGAAATACAATTAACACAGTATCATGACATAACCATAAATACGCTATGTACATGTAGCACATGATATGAAAATCATTTAATTATGTATTTTGGTCGCTCGCGTGGCGCAGTGGTTAGAGCGTTCGCTCTAGAGTCGCGGAGTAAGGAGTTGATCCTTACGTCGCGTGTTCGAATCCCACTGCGGGGCGTAGAGACCGGTCCTTCGGATGAGACCGTATAAACCGAGGTCCCGTGTCGCAGTAGGTGCTGGCACGAAAAAGATCCCTCACTGCTCAATGGCCCTGAGTGCCGAGTATAGGTCAAAATTTGTAGCTCTCCACCGTCTCCATATGAGTGAAAAATTCTCGAGAGGGACGTTAAACGATAAAACAAACAAACTTATGCATTTTGCTCTTTCACCTATTGGAAGACCTTTTGAATCCTTAGTTATTTTTGTTTTGCAAAATTATATTGAATTGAGCCGCACACACATAACAAACAATTTCCTTTTCCTTCCAAGAAATTGAACGAAAAAAGGGTAAGGAGGTGGTAGCTAGTTAATTTACATCAAATTCTTGTAAACAGTAGAATCAAATTACTAAATAAGGCTTGCTTACGGATTTTAAAGTAATGATTATGATCGCTTTTTTCTCCCACTTAATTTATTCAAATCAAGAAAAATATCACTGATATTCACATATTGTTTTCTCACCTTTTTCAAAACTTCGATTCTATTGGTTGTTAAGACACGAGGAAATGCTAATTCATTTCAAAGAGTGGGTTGGAGAAAAGTATTTCTATTCCATAACTTCAAGACAATAAACATATTGGAAATGGCACAGATCGAAGAATATACGTGGATTTTGGATTTTAATTTTACCTATGATTATTTCAATGCATCATATATGATAATAAGTGACTCGTCTAGAGACACGTCAAACGGAAGACTAGCGGTGCAATGGATTCTCCTTGGCTTATACATTCTTACAACGGCTATTGCAGTTCCCGGAAATTTAATCATGACTTGGCATTATAGACCGAAGAAGAACTGGAGAAATAAAAACATTTTCATCAGCAGTCTTGCGATTAGTGACCTAGGACTTGTAATCATTTCTATTCCCTTTAAAGTGATAGGTCAGCATCTTTACCAATCTTGGCCATATTTTGACCTGTTATGTCCTTTTTCAGCCTACCTCCATTTGGTGCTAGTTGTACACCGTTCCCAGTCTCTTATGTTGTTGACTGTCTATAGACATTACGTGATATTTCGATCTCCACAAAAAGTGTCTTTAGTTGTTCAAGGCAAAGTCACATATTTGCTCACCTTGCTATGTTCCTTCTTGGTAGCATTGCCCATTGCTATGTATTCAAGGGTGCAATATTTCAATGTAGGGTTTCAAACAAGAAAAATGTGTGTGGAAGAGTGGAACTCCAGCAAAGAACGACTTTACTACACCATTGCAATAATGGTCATGCAATATATAGTCCCACTTCTGATACTATGTTTCTCAAACTTTTATATTGGATTTCTTGTCTGGGCCCGAAAACCACCAGGGGAAAACCATCCTCAGAAAATCAAAGAAATGTACTTGGCAAAACGACGGGTATGTACTCACAAACTTGCTTTGATTAAAACTTTTTTTCTTTTTTGAATCAACATTAAAATATATGCAGTAATTGAAAAAGCTCTTTCAATTATGATTTAAGAAAATATACAAAGCCTATTGAAAATTAAACACTAGCAAAGTAAAATGTATTTTTTTTTCTCCTTTGTCTTGTATATGTGATTACTTCAAGTACAATTTCTTTTTTCTTTATTCAGACTGTCAAAGTTCTCATTTGCGTTGCTGTATCCTACGCAATCTCCTGGCTTCCTCTTCATGTAACCACAATCGTGGGCAGCAACAACAACCAGCTGATGAGTCAAGAGTACATGCAAGTCTTCTGGATGTTCTCTCATTGGTTCGCCTTCACCAACTGTGCCGTTCATCCTATAAATTATTTTGTGATGGATAAAGATTTTAGAAAAAAAACCAAGAACATGTTTGGAAAAATGTGCTGTTTGTGTCTTAAAACTCAGCTACAGTTGCATCACCGTAACAGAGATTCACTGCCATCTCATAACACTTTAAGGACCAGCATCAAAGGAGGATTGGTGACTAAAGTGTGAATAATAAAAAAAATGTACAAACAAATCATTTCATTTTTTTCAATATTTATACAAAAGGTTATGAAAAAGGTTTATCAGATCGTGCTGGCGAATCAGTTTTAGGTTTTTGAATTCTGCTACTTGTTTTCAATACAATAATCATAAACGTTCTGAATTATATATTTTTTCTGGCTTAGATAAACAATTTCATATGTGCTTTATGGATATGTCTTTTTCTTTAAATTCTGACTCGCATTTTGCTATCGGAGATGGCTAATCGTTATACTTCGAGTTTCCCTTCTTGTCACTGGAGTTTAAAATCTTCTACCCACTTATTCAAAATCAGCTTGGTGTCTATGGTTGGAATTTCCTTGGAATTTACAGTTACATGTAACTATTGTCTTCATATGTAAATATATATCAATTTTCATTGCTGAAAAACATCTTCACAAAAAATAATTTCCCTTTTTAGACACTTTGCAACTCGCCTTTGCACTGAAACAGAGTTTAACTTATTTTAAAAAATAATTATGAAATACTTGGCATACTTGTATAAAAGTGTTATACAACTTTCAACACTTGATGTCTGCGATGCAAGACAAAAACAAGAATATATGATTTAAAAAGGACTTTCCAACTACAATGCAAGATGAAGATAAACAAACTGATTTTATCAAAAACCAAATTTCGTAAGGTGTACACTACAGTTCGCAACTGTTATAGATATCTTGTGAAGTTAGAAAATAATTATTGTGGTTTCAGAATCAATACGACTGCTGATAACGCACATGCGCACTAAATAGCTTCACTTCAATTATAAGCATGAAATTTCACACGTACATATTAGGAGTTGTGGAAAGTTGGTTGAAGTGACGTAAGAGAAGAAGAGCAGCGGTCAAACAGTGTACTTACTTGAATAAATAAAGAAGATGGGCGAACAAGTGCCTATAGTTCCACAAACATGAAGATGAAAAATTAAATCTCATTTATAACTAAATTTTCTTTGATATTTCATCTAACATTAAAGTGTACTTTATGTAAAATCTCCACAATTTGCAAAAGTCTCACAAATATAGAAATTATTTGCCTATGAAATAGCATACACACACTAAAGACAAAGGGGCTTGCCTTCCGGATTGTTAAATGTAAAATAAATTAATAATAACAAAATGATTTTCCTAAATGTTGATGCGTTTGCCAGTCATCAACACGCGTTTAATCAACAGAAAACGGATACAGTTTCTTCGATTTGGAGCTCATCTCTAAAAATCGACCTGGGAATCAATGTATAGGGAAAACTCGGAAGGTAATCGAAAGCGAATGGTAATACCCAAGGACTTCCAGCTTCGCGGATAAAAATGTTTACAGACAAGAAAAGACAGTGAAAATGATAAATACTGGCTTAAGTTTGGTTTTCATAGGCTAAAGCGGCACGGGGAAGACTCATTTAATTAATGTATAACTAATTTGTTACATAATTTACAGGACACTTGCTATACAAGCGCGCTATATCTTATACCACGATTATAGCCCTTGCGTCGTTACTATGAAACCATTAGTCCGAAATATCTGACGTTTTCCAGGCTTTTTTCACGATTTTGATATTTTACGTGCCAGGAAAACCTTTTGATTATATAATGAAAATCATATAGTGAAAATGCATTAATTCATTGAAAATCTTCTTCTCTGCTCCTGGGTATTAAATAAACTAAGTATATAGTTATGATGAGTAAGAGTGCCTCTTCCAAAATTGTGAATTTCATGGCCCCTGGGTCAGGGGTTCTGGTGTTAGGGTGGGGCTTTATTGATCATATAGTGAAAATGCATTAATTCATTGAAAATCTTCTTCTCTGCTCCTGGGTATTAAATAAACTAAGTATATAGTAATGTATATAGTTATGATGAGTAAGAGTGCCTCTTCCAAAATTGTGAAATTCATGGTCCCAGGGGCAGGGTTTCTAGTGTTAGGGCGGGGCACTATTGATTATATAGTGAAAATGCATTAGTTCTTTGAAAATCTTCTTCTCTGCTCCCGCCTCTTCCCAAATTGTGAATTTCATGGCCCCTGGGTCAGGGGTTCTGGTGTTAGGGTGGGGCTCTATTGATCATATAGTGAAAATGCATTAATTCATTGAAAATTTTCTTCTCTGCTCCTGGGTATTAAATAAACTAACTAAGTACATAGTTAGGATGAGCAAGAATGCCTCTCTCCAAATTGTGAATTTTCATGGCCCCTGGGTCAGGGGTTCTGGTGTTAGGGTGGGGCTCTATTGATCATATAGTGAAAATGCATTAATTCATTGAAAATCTTCTTCTCTGCTCCTGGGTATTAAATAAACTAACTAAGTATTTAGTTATATAAAGTGAAATGTTTTAATTCTTTAAAAATCTTTTTCTCTGCACCTTGGTATTATTTAAACAAACTAAGTACATTGTTATGATAAGCAAGGATGCCTCTTCCAAAATTATGAAATTCATGGCCCCGGGGACAGGAATTCTGGTGCTAGGGCGGGGCTATAGAGATCCTATAGTGAAGGTGAATTATTTCTTTGAAAATCTTCTTCTCTGCCCCTGGGTATTGTTTAAACAGACTAAGTACATTGTTATGATACGCAAGGATGCCTCTTCCAAAATTGTGGATTTTATGACTCCAGGTTTAAGGATTCTGGTGGGGGGGGGGGGGGGGGTTCTATTGATTATAAAGTGAAAAAGCAAAATTTCTTTAAAAATATTCTTTTCTGCTTCTGGTTAAAAAAGCAAAGAAGCTTAGTGTATAGTTATGATGAGCAAGAGTGCTTCATTCAGAGTAGTTAATTTCATGACCCCTGGGTCAGATGTGAGGGTGGGGCTCTTGATAATATAGTGAAAATGCATTAATTCTATTAAATAATCCTGTTTGCTCCTTAGTGTCAAGCAGATAAACAAAGTGGTTAGTTATGATGAGCAAACTTATGGTTCCAGGGTCAGATGCTCTGGTGGGTTTTTTTTTTGGGGGGGGGGGGGGGGCTCTATTGATAATATAGTGAATCTGTAGTAAAAATGCATTATTTCTTTAAAAATCTTCTCCGCACCTGGGCATATGTGAGGTAAATAGAGTAAAAAATTTTCTAAGGAAGGGAATTTTTACCAGATTTTTGAACATCTGGACCATTTGGTCAAGTGTTCTAGTCCTGGCCAGGGCTCTATTAGTTTGTATTCTACTGAGAGGAGTTATTCCCCTTTGCCATTTACTTTTGATAATTTATCACTGTAAATAATGTACTTGAAAGGTAAATAGAATAAGAGAATTATGCAAAAACTTTTATTGTATAATACAAAAAGTACTTTCATTGTTTTGATGATCAGATAGACTTGTAAGTAGTAGATAAATAAAAATGAGACAAAAATAGCTTGTCTTATTAAATGTTCATCAAAGACCAAGAGAGGCCAATTTGAGAAATTTCAACAAGGGATTAAAATAGTACAGAAGCATTGATAATTTGTTAATATACTGTATGGTGATAGTGATAAATGGGGAACAGATTAGAACCTAATTTATGAACTGTTAATGAATATTAAGACCAATTATTTTGTTGATCGTGATCACCCTATTTTTTTTTCTTTTGGGCAACAAAGTTTCACCTTTCAGTTCATTTTATACTCTATGCTTCTTTAAATTATTGTATCATACTCAGGTGACCGTTAAGGCCCTTGGGCCTCTTATTCAAAATGCTACTCCTCCCACAGTTTTGGTCTGATTTCAATATAACTTGGTACACAAGTAGACAACAATAAGATACATAATTCATTTTTTATGCCCCCGTATCGAAGATTCGGGGGGATATAGTTTTTGCCCTGTCTGTCTGTCTGTCTGTCCGCAAAAACTTTAACATTGCCCATAACTTTTGATTGGTTGGAGCTATGGGTTTCATATTTCACATGTGTATTTCTTGTGACAAGACCTTTCTTTGGGTACCACCATATTTGACCTTGGAGTTTGACCTACTTTTGAAAAACATTAACATTGGCCATAAATTTTGAACGGTTGGTGCTAAGGCTTTCATACTTAGCATATGTAATCCCTGTGACAAGACCTTCCTTTGGATACCAACAACTTTGACCTTGACCTTGGAGTTTGACTTACTTTTGTTAAACTTTAACATTGGCCATAACTTTTGAACGGCTGGTGCTAGGGCCTTCATACTTCACATATGTAATCCTTGTGACAAGACCATCCTTTGGATTTCAACAACGTGGACCCTTTGACCTTGGAGTTTGTCCTACTTTTGAACAACTTTGACCTTGACCTCGGACTTTGACCTACTTTTTGAAAACTTTAACCTTGGACACAAATTTTGAAAAGTTGTTGCTAGGGCTTTCATATTTAACATGTTTTTTCCTTGTGACAAGACCTTCCATTTGATACCAACAATTGTAATCCATTGACCTTGAACTTGGAGTTTGACCTACTTTTGAAACACTTTAACCTTGGTCATAACTTCTGAACGATTGGTGCTTCAGCTTTCATATTTCACCTGTATATTTCTTGTGAGAAGGCCTTTCCTTAGGCACCATTAATTTTGACCTTGACCTTGATGTTTGAATTACTTTTGAAAAACTTTAACCTTTTCCATATCTATTCAATGGTTCCTGGCTAGGGCTTTCATATTTCACAGGTATATTCCTCGAGACCAGACCTTATTTTGGGTACCAACATATATTTGATTTGCATTTGAGAAAGTTTAACCTTTACTATAAGTTACCATACGGGGGCATCAGAGTTTCACAAACACATCTTGTTTTTGATTTCGATAAACGGTGTTCCCATGGTTACTAAAAATAGAAATTTTTGTGAAATTCTTTCAGATCAGTCGACAATAGTGAGTAACTAGTGAGTGTTGACGTATGCGGAGACCTACCAAAGTTTTTAAGTTCTGAGTAACAGGAAAGATAATTCTAAAAAGGGATTTCGATACCAAAGATTTCAAAAATAATTTTTCTACGTCAATAAATTTGATTTTAATTCAATTTTTAGTTGTAATTTATTTCATTAATGTTTCTTCTATTCTATCAGGAGTCTTCCCTAATTTTTTTTTCTTCTTGTATTTTAGAGAAAATGAGTTTTAT